AAAAAAAAAAAAAAAAAAAAAAAAAAAACCCCCCCCCCCCCCCCCCCGAGCAAAGCCTCATCAGTCTGATATAATAAGTCTGTTACCTTTTGCTCATCTGGGACAAAAACCTTCTTGGCCTTTTTGATCATGGGCTGTGGTTTCAGGTCCTCTTCAGCAAACTTGTGCTTGCGAGGATTGAAAAGCTCACCACCGGGCACGCTGGAGAGCACTAAATCAGCAGGGTCAGGATTAAAGTTCACATCAATCTCAATGCAGTCTGGATCAACGGGGCTCGGAGTCTCTCTCTCACTCTCTGGGGAGGATTCTAGAGAAAGGCAGTAAACATCACAATAGGAGATCAGCATGACGAACAAAATAAATCCAGGTACCCATATATGGGCATCTCTGCTCACTGTCCTAGTGTATGCCACATTTATCACTTCTATTTAATAGTCAACTCAGTACTGTACAAGACATATCTCTTGCAGGGGATGGAACTAACATCTCAGCCTTACACAGAAATGCTGGATAACCTCCTTCACCATGGAAGAAATACAAGCCCTGGGCATGCATGCCCAGAATGAGAGATACAAGAAGATAAAAATGGCAGAAAGATATCAGTTTCTCCCTTGTGCACCTCGCTACATATAAGAAGTATTTGCTCCAACAGAGTTAAATCAGAAATTCAGAGCTCTATCTCCCTGCCATTTATGGCTCAGAAATTCCCACAGAAGCATGAGCTGGCTTGGAGATTTCTCTCACTCAGCCCACTGAAGACCACGCAAAATTTGATTTTCAGCATGAAAAATAGAGGTTTGATAAAAATCCACACATCGTGTTCTTCCTTATTTGTTATATGTAAATGGAAGAGTAATAACAGAGGGCCCAGTGTGGAAGAGATGTGTACTGTGACAAAAACAGAATGGAAGCATGACCTTTAAAGACACAAGTTAAAAGTCACATTACAGTAACCTTATGTTTATAAACATCTTTCATACAGATGAACTGCAGATTTTAGCACGAAGTGAAATATAGGCAGGGATAAATGAATCTCTTCTTCCGCTAGTGAAATGCAGCCACATATCTGGGCAGTAAAACATTAGCAACACTACACAAGAGTTTAGGAGAAAACAACAACAAAAGCTATACCCAAAGGATAACATAAAACACATCATATATAAACATGGAGTCCACAAGTGAGCACTTGATGCATGGTTTTTCAGCAGGAGAGAGGAAAGAAACCTTGTATTCCATGTTGTGCATTTGTCTACCAGGTTTGTGGAAAGAGGGTCAGGGTTCAGGCCCTTTCCATAAAGCCTTCTTGCAGGTTCTTTTCTCACAAAAAAGCCATTAAGTCTGTGCAGTGTTATTGTGTGGAGTTCCCAAATACAGCACTAAACTGAAAAGTGAAGCTCCTCTCCAGATATGCACACCGCTATCTAGGATCAGGTCACGGGTAGCTAGGGTGGAGGCACCAGAAATGTGTTTTATTTTTTTGTCTCTCCTTTCTCACCTCAGGTACTCAAGAGACTTCCAAGCATTCCTTGGAGCGTCAAAACTAAAATATAAACAGCCTCTGTCCAAAAAACTTAGCTGTCACATTTCACAAGCTTTATTATAACATTTCCATAAAGCAAAGTTCATTGGATGTACACTAACTACTAATGGTTTACCTCAACGGACTGAGCCACCAAGGTGTTCAAAAGCTTATCTGAACCTATCAAGCCTGCAGATCTTATAGTAACAGATTTTTCCACAAGAATTCAAGGAATTCCAGACTCTTGCTAGGTTAGAAGTACCAATTAGAAAGGCTAATTTTATTGGTATTTCAGATTTTCCAATTCCAACTAGAAACAAAACAGCACAGAAGCAATGTGTTTTTTTTTTGTTTTTTTGTTTTTTTTTTTTTTTAAAAGAGATGTTAAAACCTCAAAAAAAGTCCTGCTTCAGTTGTGGGAGAATGTTTGTGCTGGTTCTTATTTTAGCTGGGCTCATTCCCTAGCATCAACAGCCACAAGATTTGCAATCAGATACTCTAATGAGAAGTGGCTAAGCGGCAGTGGCACTAAGGCCTTGTCTACACTTAAGGGAAAAGTCCATTTAAGCTATGCAATTTGAGTTACATGAATAGTGTAATTCAAATCAACATAGCTTAGATCTACTTACCGTGGGGTCCACACTACACAATGTTGACGGGAAACATTCTCCCATCAACTCCCCTTACTTTTCTTGATCAGGTGGAGTACAGGAGTCAACGGGAGAGCGATCAGTGGTCGATTTAGCGGGTCTTCATTAGACCCGCTAAATTGACCACCGAAGCATTGATCGCCGCAGCAGTAAGTGTAGACAAGCCCTAAGTTATTTTGGGAGTGGGAAAGACCTCTTCATAAAGATTAGCAGGAATTTACAGAAGAATGAAACTCTATAGGCTAAACACATTTATGCTGTTTAAGCTTCTGAAGCTAATCTCAGCAGGGTGGTAATGCTTCTCCCCAGGTTTGAGGCCTCTTTACATATAACAACAACAGAAACCATCCACATGGCTTCAAAGTATTTCACCTACCTGTGCCGGAGGCAGCTTCAGATGGTTGGAAAACTACAGTGGAAGATGATGAGGGAGGAGAGGCAGCAGATGCACTGGCAGGCTCTTTTCCTTCCAGCTCAGCCACAGGCAGGAGCGGGTTCTGGTTCAAGCCTAGGTGAGCAGGGCTCGAAGGGATTCCATTCTCCAGGAGGAACTCATCCAGATCCATGTACTCCAGGTGGAAAGATTCCCCATCATAAGGGATGGTTTTGTCCCAAATGGGAGGCATGAGGGAGGCAGAGACTGCCATAGTGCTGGCAGCTGCTGCTTCATCCTCCTCAAGTTTTACCTTCTCCTTTTCTTTATCTAAAAGACAAAAACAAAGGTCACTGTGTAAAATATGGGTTAGAAGATTAAAGACTAGGTTTAAATAATGGTAAGAGTTCAATACAGACTCCATCAGAGCAAGGAAATTCACTCCTTGACACGTTCTACATCAATTTACTCAGCCCAATCTCCATGTGTAACCCACACACACTTAACAGTTTGTCGGTCTCCATCTAATAGGTAGGCCACAGAGATTTACAGGTACATTAAAGTCTTGGAGCTAAGAGAGCAGGGTCTTTTAGCATAGAGGTCCTCTGTTTAATCCACATTGCCAACAACCCACCCAGGGGTGGTATAATACACATGCTCCTAAGCACCATGATTCACCACAGTTTAGATTTGATTATCTTTAGGATTTACAACAGATATTTTGTTTCTCCCAGGCTTTTCCTGGAAGACAGGAAAAGTACATGTGGAAGGGTCAGGTTACAATGGAAACTATTAAGAAGCCTTTGAGGTAACAAGAACGTTTATCCTGAAGTTGGGAGAGAAGTGCAAAGAGGGAAAGATTAGGTACAAGAAGGGGGGGGAGGAAATGGGGATTTTCATATTGGATTTGGAAATAACACAAAGTTCATCTACATTAAATGCTAACTGTAACAGTTCAGCTAAGCATTTATAAAAGCATTTGTTCCTGAAAAAAATTCAGTGTCCCCACACAGTACTCCCTCTAACATTTTGTTATAGGTCAAAGTACCTATCACACAGTTCCCCAAAAGGGGAGGTTGTAGGAGAACATCTTAGAATTTCCCCCAGAGATTGACGAAATTTTCTGTATAAACTACACTATAGGTCATACACAGGAGAAGCACAGTTGTCTCTATGCTAAGCAAAGCCCATTTCTGACTGAATTCCTGGAAGCGTAGTCAACTGACTGCTGAAGGTCATAGATAAACTGAGTAGAATCTCAGCAAAGAATGAGGCCCACAAGAATTAGAAGACAGCTTTAAATAATGACACTACTTTGTCCATGAAACCACACCTCACTCATACTCAGATCAGGTGCCTATCTCTAGACCTTACTGGACTGAGTACCATTTTGGGGGCAGAAGCACATCCGCTGACAGGTGAAAGCATGATGGTCAAGACCTGGGATGAGGAGGAATGGCTGCAGAGCAATGAGATTTTTTCCAATTTTTGTGAGGTGCTCACTCCCACACAAGAGCACCTGGATGAGAGTTCCTCTTACTTTAGGCAATACAGTGAAGATTGCGCTGTGGAAACCAGGAACCCCAGGTAATTACTGCTTGATGGGATGTTCATTTGGGGTTGGAAGTCTACATACAGGCTATTGTGTGGGAAGTGTATACAGCAATACCAATTCATGCAGCAAGTGTGATCAAAGTATAGTATAAATATATACTTGCAAGAATGCTCAGCAATTGTAAAACTAAATTTCCTCATGCTGCAATGTAGAAATAGACAGCACCATCATTCTGATTCTGAATAAAACAACAGTCACCAGAATGACACACTCCAGAGAGATGTAAATCCTACTGGATCAGAGGTTGGCTCTTCACTGTTCACATAGGGAAGCCTGGCAAAGAGCACAATGCACAAACCTGAGAACACTGGGCTGTTCCAAACCAGATGGAATAGATCAGTCAGTAGGGTCAACCACACAGAGAGACCAGGATAGCCTTTTAGCCCTGCTAGGATTTTAGAAGATCCTGCATACCAACCCTTAGAAAACCCTACCCCAATTATTCTGGCAGACATTACTTCAAATGACTTCCTTAGCAGGAAAGAATCAAGGTGGAATATTGATATATATATAAAATCAGTGGAATATGCCTTCGAAAGTCTCAAGGCAAGAATGAGGTTTCTGTTGAAAAGGACAGCACTGTGATACAGGGTACCATTGTTACTTCAACCTGCTGTATTTTGCACATTATGTTTAAAAGCACAGAAGGAAATTTAATTCATAGCGAACGAAAAAACCTGGATGAGAAAGTAATTGCTTCGCCAGCCAGAGGCTCGGGACTCCTCAACAGCTAGCAGGAACACACATGCTGATAGTAGATCATAGGCTCTTCAGATAGGACTATGTCTTTCTATGCATTTGTTCAGTGCCTAGCAGAATAGAGCCAGTCTTGCCTGAGATCTCCGAGTACTAGCATAAGTACATATTAGTGAACCAAATGCAAATGACACTGATGACTTAGTTTTGTAAAGCACATTGATTTCGGCTGGAGTTGTAAGGCAACTGGACGCTCGCATGCACCAGGTGGCAATGCCTGGAGCAGGGAGCAAAGCCCAGCCCTGGGGCACAGGCCGCGCTGCTGCGGGGGCAGATTTTGTTGTTTGATGTTGCGCTATTTTGCATTGGCAAAAAGCCCCGAGGCTGCAGCCAGACTCCGGGCAGGTCAGTCACCGAGGCCACAAGTCTTCTCAGGGCAGCCCCGGCCTGTGGCTAAGGAGGGGGAAATCTCCTCCCCCCGCTCCAGCGGCTGCCGCCCGCCAGCAGCCACTGGAGCCCAGGCCGGGGCCCGGCCCTAGCATGGAGCCCGGCGGGCGGGGCTGGGGGCAACGCGGGGCACTCGCGGGCCCCGGCCCAGCTGGACCCGCCCCGGGAACCAGGGAGCTGGGGCTCGCCCCGCCCCTCGACACGCGCGCTCCGGCCGCTCTCGGGGTCGCGCCGTGCGTGCGCGCTCCCGCCCTCACCGAGGCGCGCGTCCCGCGGAGGATTCTCCATCAGCTTCTTCAGCACTAGCGGGAAGGCTCCCGCCAGGCTCCGCTCCTGCTGCGCGGAGGCGGCCGCCCCCGCGCTCCCCGCTGCTGCCTCCTGGCGCGCGGCGCGGCCGGGCATGCTCCCCGCTGTCCGGCGAGCGGCGTCAACGCCGAGACCCTCGCAGCGGAAGGCTAAGAATTAGGGCTGCGCCAGCAGCTCCCGGAAAGACACCGCCAAGGCGCACGCGCCAGCAGCTGACGCCACGAGCCAGCCTCGCCTTATTTCTTTATTCATGAGCGCGAGCTTCCCTCACTTCCCGCCCACAACCCAGGCCGCCTTCTGTGATTGGCTGCGCTGCTCGAGGGAGGCGCTCCCATTGGCCATAGGCGGACACGTTCGGTCGGCGCAGCCCAGGAAAGTGCAAGGAAGGAGTGTGATTTATTAGCATGTTAGTCCCGCCCCTCCGGCCCCCCCAAGCAAGAGCGCGCGCGGAGGGAGGGGTGTGAAAACAGCCGCGCGCACACTAGTGCTGCGGCGATCGCAGGAGAGCGCGCGAGCCCAGTCACTGGAAGGGAGCAGCCCCTGGGGCCGGGCTTGGCCAGCCCCGGGTTCTGCAGTTGCGTAGCGGTGCGGGCCGGGAGTCGCGAGCCCATTAGCCGCTGTGGCCGCTCAGGAGGAGAGGGGGCGGGGCTGCGGGGCGCGCGCAGCGGATCCCCCAGCTTCCCTAATAATCCCTGCCCTTCGCAGGGACGCGGCCCCGCCTACCCCCACCGGCCCCGGCCTCAGAGGAGGTGGGGGGCCGGCTTTCGGAGAGATCCCAGCTCGGGCTGCTGCCAGCGCTCGGCCGCGCGGGGGATTTTCCCCACTTGTGTCCTGCTGGTCTCCCCCAGCGCCAGTGCCTCGCGTGTGCACAAGGATAAACGACTCCAGGCTGCGACGTGCCTGGTTTCAGGCAAACAGCCTCTGTCTACACTAGGGGTCGCACTACTTCAGCTCCACTCCGGGCTGGCCCCAGCTGGCTGATAGCGGGTCACCTTACCAGTGAGGACAAGGCTGATCACATGATACGGCCTCCGCTTGTATGCAGCTGCTAAATGTCAGCAAAACACCCTAGCAATACATTAATTTCTTCCTCTTTCCTTTTCCCTTCCCACCCTCTGCTTCTCCCCAGCAGTGGTATCATTTCGTGCTTCTATTTTATCTTTATTATGTTAGTGCTGAGAGGCCAACCAAGAACCCTTCCCTGCTGTTCTAGGCACTGTACAAACAGACGATATCTGTCTGTTGCCAAAGAGATCATGTCATCACAGTGAAAAAATGTGAAATCAGACTCAGCCCCCTTCTTCCCTCATGGGTCTGATGAAGTGATGTGTATGATCATTCTCCTGGCACAAAAGTCATCATCTATCATTTTTGCTTGACCAGCACCTGCTCTACTTCTTGGAGAACATTTTCAAAAGAACACAATCGGGCAGAGTTTCAAGAGAGCTCAGCTACCTAGGAGCTGAGCTCTTGAAATCTGGCTGCCAGTATCACAATAGTACCTGCTGGATGCAGCACTCTTTTGAAAATCTTGCCCCAATAGTAGGCAATGAGCATTTGAAAGTCTGGCCTTGAGTACTTTGGGAAATCTATTCCTTATTTTTCCATCCAGGGAATATTGCTGAGTAAAGATGTGTTTGGAGCTTCCATCTCTTTAGCTTTTTTTGTTCTTAGGGGAGAGCAGGGAAGATAAGTAAAATCTAGTGATAATGTTTTAGATTAATGGGAACCATAGTGTACACCTCTACCCCGATATAACGCTGTCCTCGGGAGCCAAAAAAAAAAATCTTACCGCATTATAGATGAAACTGCGTTATATTAAACTTGCTTTGATCCACCGGAGTGCGCAGCCCTGCCCCCGAGCGCTGCTTTACCGCGTTATATCCGAATTCATGTTATATCGGGTCACAGGTGTATTGACAGGCATAAGGAAACTAGGTGAAAGGCAATGTAAAGAGGCAGAGCACTCTATAGTACTACCACTCTGCTTAAATTCAAATATCATCATGCAAACAAACATTCTCTATGGCCAACATCGGGGGAGATCAAATCTAACACAACCTCTAGATGGGATACTATGTGACATGGATATGATCTCGTCCTGTCCTGCATCATGACAATAGCAGCTGTGTGTCCTATGTGATGTCAAACCCCTAGGAGAAGGAAGAAACTTTGAGGTTGTTTCCAGCCCTCAAACAAACAAGGAAAATGGTGCTCGATTTAGAAGTGCAGACCCAATATAACTATACTGGTGAAGTTGGTGAGAAACTACCCAGAGTTACAATCTGTCATTGACAGGGTGTGGATGGGGTGATCTATGAGTTCTTGTTTTTCCTATCTTGTCTTTACCAATTTCCCACCGCTGTTCCTGCTGAATGTTTCCTGTATCACTCAAATACATACATGACACTGGCCACCTAAATGCATAAGTGGAGGGACTACATCCTGCAATCTTCCATTTCAAAAAACACAGATCTCTACCCAGCCAGGCATTAAAGGAGTATCTCCAGTAGCTCAGCTAGCAGAGCTAATAAGCGCATAGACAAGAGTGATATACACTTCAAACATACAATTTTTTGAACAGCAACACTGTCTTTTACTTGACTGTAAAAGTGCCACACACATCGGCAGTGATGAATAAATAATATATTCCAACCAGTGGAGGAACCAGTACTTGTCACTAGTTACAGTCCTCATATCTGCTTCCCACCATTTTGTTCAAGACTGCGGTTTCCCTGGCAAGGCTGGTTTTTATGATCTGTAAGGAATCTAAACTACAGTACTGAGGTAGTGATTTAGACCAACAGTGTCTCCCTCACCTCTAGGCCCCAAAAGTGGAAGCTGGTTTGGTGGAGGTGCACTGCTTGTGCCTAAGGCTGACCTTGTTCCCTGACTTACTCCCAGATGAGTTTAGCAGATGCTGAACATTAGGATTAGCTTTGTACAGTCATAGGCATGTGGCTGTGCACAGGGAGTGTTTAATTTACACAAAGATGATTTTTTGCATAGGCCTTAACAGGAGTTTGCAGGGAGCTTCTTGTGGGATCCTGCACAATGCACTCTGCATGGGTGTCAAGTGTCTGGCTCTTCCTCAGACACTGATATGAGAGGCTGGTTTGGGAACGTTTCCTTGGACTCTTCCTGGGATTAGATACTCAGAGTCTAGTCACCAATGGAATAAAGTGGATGGGTGCAGTAGGTCACTGGAAACTGCAACATCAACTGCACCCTCCTGCTTTATTTAGATTTTGCAAATGTAATTGTCAGTTTCTCTTTAGCTCTGGTTGTTAGGATATAGATATTCAGGTCTGTCTGTAAAGGCCTATACTTTAAGAATTTAGGTGTATTATCACTTAGCTAGTTATAGAGGTATAAAAGAAAGAATCAAAAATCACTGTCTGTGAAAGGGCCTTCTCATACTGTGACAGTCTGAGGCTCTGTTCTTAGGCTAAGTAAGGCCTTTGGCTATGCAGCAGAGGCAGCCGTAAGCTGAGAAGTGAATGGTCACATCCTCACATTCCAAACTAGTCACATGGAAATAAGGTGCTATTGGGCTGTTAGGAATACAATTCTGTCCTGATATTCCTATCACCTCCAGAGAAAGGAAAGAGCCTAGAACATGTAAAAGGAAATTTAGTTTGATAGTTTTCTGTCTGGTAAAAACTTACTTATCAATAGACACAGCTGGAAAACCCTTATGTCTGTATAGATGTAGTTGTGAAATCCTCACTTCTGTATTGTTTTGTATGTTTATTTGCATGGTCTCTGTCAGGTTCTGTAATTGTTTCTGTCTGCTGTATAATTAATTTTGTTGGGTGTAAACAATTAAGGTGGTGGACTATAATTGGTTAAATAACATACTGTAACATGGTTAGGATTGGTTAGTTAAATTTCAGTAAAATGATTGGTTAAGGTATAGCTAAGCAGAACTCAAGTTTTACTATATAGTCTGCAGTCAATCAGGAAGTAAGGGGGGGGGAATGGGAACAGGGAATGGGAGTGGGGAAATTGGAATCATGTTTTGCTAAGGGGGGAATGGGAACAGGGATGGCTCTGTGGCATCAGAGCTGGGAAGGGGGACACTGAGAAAGGAAACTGGAATCATGCTTGCTGGAAGTTCACCCCAATAAACATTGAATTGTTTGCGCCTTCGGACTTCGGGTATTGTTGCCCTCTGTTCATGCGAGAAGGACCAGGGAAGTGAGAGGGTGAAGGAATAAGCCCCCTAACACTGGTACTAAGAATTGGAACATGCAAGATGGGAATCCTGAGTGGGCTTAGCTTTTACACTGGGAGCTTGTGATGGGGAATTCAGCTCCAAAGGGGGGTGAGGAGAAGCACAGCTCTGATGTGGTGAGAGGATATGTAATAAGGAGCCGATGACCAGGTAGAGCGTATGTGTGCAATCAGCACCACTAGGAGAGCTGCTGCAGGATAGCAGAGTGTATGTAAAATGGAGAAGGGGTATGTATGTGTGATGACAGACCTGGTCCCTGAAAAAGGGGGTTGGAAAGGCTGGCTCTGGCAGGGAGGTGTACTAAGAGGGAACTAAGAACTAAAGGAGACTTAGGGAATGTGCAGGGAGGTCCCCAGGCAAAGGGAGGGAGTTGTCATGGTACCATGCCCCCATGCAGCCAAAGAAAGTCATGTCCAATTAAGACTAAATGCTTCCCTCCAATAATCATAACAATCAATAATCCAATTTCCTCTCTAGCCCCATCAACAAATTCTTCCCAGTTCTCCTAGGTTAGATGGATTCCAACCAGTTGCTTCACTCTGCTGAATCTGGATACCAAGGATCTAAGGAATTTACTTAATCCAACCTTGGCCAGAGCAACATCCAGGACTTGCACTAGTGACACTGCTTTCCTTGCTCTGCCACAACTGCACCCGCCCCTCTCAGTCAGCTTTTCACCATGGCACTGGATAGCTCAGAAACACGTCCAGGACCAGCCATCCAGCTCCATATTATATAACAGCCTGGTTATTGTACAGGGTCCCAGCAAGGGAGGGAGTGAACTTACAGGCAACAACAGAAGGACTGTGCTACGGGGACTTGACAAAATGAATCCATTCAGAGAGGTGGGGAGCTACATTAATCCTTTCGTCATCACCCGTCTTCCTAATGCCATAGGTCCTCTTGTCTCTAATTAAATTTTCAGCTGCT